GATCAACATCGATGTTGGATTTTGCGAAATCTAGTCGCCACTCGGATATTCGCGGCCTCAATTTTCCGATGCGAAATTCCCCATGAAAGCAAATCTGCTAATTTGCAACATGTTCCTCAAATCCAGGTCTAACAAGAGAAAATACCCGAAAAAGACATCCACGGTGAATTTGGCATCCCCACGTGGATTAAAGCAAAAAATATTTAATTCCACTACATTGTCGGACTTCCGTAGACCGGCACAATCCCCATGAAAAATCGAATCGAAAACCCCTTTTGCAAAATTTCCCACGACCAATGCTTCTCGAGATATTCGGCATCAAAGCCGACCAATCACAGCGCGTCCTGTGGAGTGGAGGGGCGGGGCCTGAACATCTCGCCGACACGCGATTGGCTCGCCTTTGAGGCAGAATATCTCGGCTCGGAGCAATCTCTCAAAGTCGTGCGACAGAACTTTTCGGCTGGATTTTTTCCTCGCAAGATGATGGAATTGTTGAAAACGCCATCGGAGGGAAAATTAGTACCGATGAGGAATAAAATCTATCTGCAAGACAGAAAGAGGGCAACTGGAGGCACGAGCAGGCATGCTTTGGAGGGGTGGATCGTAGGTGAACACGGCAGGGGTGACAACCCTTGAACGCCCCCAGCGGCGTATAGCGTTAGCAGCCCCCAGTGGCGTATCACCCCGGAGGAGGGTGAGAAAAGCAGGCAGCGGGCTCACTTCCCGAACAGAAGTACACTTCACCCCGTAATTTATATTCCAGTTTCGTGCACCCCTCGTCCGCTCCATAATTTCATACGCCCCTGGTCTTCGCAAATGGGCACGAAAACTCGCTTCTGATTCCGCTTTACAGCCCCGGGCTCCGGGGGCCCTCGACTTAAGGGGCGCTTTGATTTCTCGACGATTCGCTTTTCCGAATTTCCTTTTTCCCCTCCCCGGACTTACGTCACTAATTCCGGCGCAGCCGAGCGCCCGGAAATATTCCCCAAGTAATTCTACTTCCCTTCTGGAAGTGGCCCCCCCCTTCCCGATGCCACGCCCGAAGTAATGCCGAGAGATTTTCAAAAGCGGAAGATCCCTGCCAGGCGGCAGAAAGAAGAAGATGCGGTTTTAAATTTCGCTGAATCGCGGATTCCGGAAAATTCAGAGCTCGGCTCGACTCGAGGGCGGTTTTCCCGGCCCCCTTTTTCCCGACCCCTGGGTCCCCGAATTATTTCAAAATTCCTCCCCCAGTCTTTTCCGCTTTTCCCTTTCGCCCTGACTTTACTTTAAGGTTGCGCTCGGGCTTTGCTTTTATTTCCACCGGGGAAAGCGGAAATGAAATAAATGTCCTGTAAGGACCGCATGAAAGGACCCTCCGGGTGGTCCTCCGGGATTTCGCCCCTCTTCCCCTTTTCCGCAGACCCTGGCATCGCGTGCGTGGGCTAATTTAATGTTTTCCTTCGCGGGAATTAATACGTGCCTTCCCCGTCACGGAATGGCCCGACTTTTCCCCGGAAAATTCACACGCGAGGAAAGGAGGCCCCAGGGCACGTAAATTCAATTACACCCTCGACTGGATTGGCCGCTCCACCTCCACAGCCGCAAATATTAATATTATGTCTCGCGCCTCATATGCATTTGGCGGTAAGCTCTACCGAGTTTCTTAACACGTTGAGTGCGGCGTCGGTCCCTGGGGACCGACAGTGAACTTTCTGTCTGGGCGGCGTCGGTCCCTCGGGACTGACACGGCATCAAGAATCCTATATATAAAAAATTGTGCCGCCCAAACGGAAAGCTCAGCAAAATCGGTTCCGCGCTCAACGTGTTAAACCAGAATTTATTTTTTTTCCTTCGGAAAAACTGCAGAAATCGATTGAAAACTGGAGTTTATCGGCAACGAAGTGGGGAAAATCTCCTGCGGATTTCCACACTCGCATGAGTTTCGCGCCAAATGCATTTGTCTCGGGACTCGCGCGCGACCGTGTCTCTTTCCGGAAAATGTTCTTTCTGGAAATTACACCCTCGCCTGGATTGGCCGCTCCACCTCCGCCGCCGCAAGTATTAATATTATGTCTCGCGCCTCATATGCATTTGGCGCTAAGCTCTACCGAGCTTCTTAAACCAGAATTTATTTTTTTTCCTTCAGAAAAACTGCAGAAATCGATTGAAAACAGGAGTTTATCGGCAACGAAGTGGGGAAAATCTCAAGCGAATTTTCTTACTCGCATGAGTCTCGCGCCAAGTGCATTTGTGTCGGGACTCGCGCGCGACCGTGTCTCTTTCCGGAAAATGTTCTTTCTGGAAAATGAGTTTTACTTGCGAAATGAGGCTTTACATCGATTTAGGATGTTGGGAGCATCGGTGAACTACTTCACCTATGAGCTGGTACCACCCGTGTAGCTACACCCTGTAACTACCGCGACCAGCCGTACTGCAAGATGCAATTATCGGACGCGCAACATTTATTGGCCCGTTAATCACCGGCCGAACCTGCTCGAATAATCGTTCGGACATTTAACTGGCGATTAACAACCGCCATTGTTAACCGGGAACTAATGGCCCGAAAGATCTCGGTAAAAAAAGAGGGAAGAAATATATTAACCCGCGAAACCGTCCTCTTTGCCGAGTCGGAACATCGATCGGGTTCTGCACTTACTTGGACTGCATAATTACCGACTTTACTGGCGGGGAATTTCCGCGAAACTACGCCGCGTACCGTATATACACTCTCGAGTGTATATTATACGAGTATGCATAATTCATACAATATTTCTCTTAAAATTAATGGAGATACGCTAAGAGCCCCTTCCATGCGCCTCCGCTAAAAGAGGGAAAAGAAAGAAACCTCGACGTTAATAAAATTTCTCCTATTCGTACGAAATATTAAATAGAATTTCCGGGATATTCCCCCGCGACATGAAACATTTAATTCGGTACTCGAAGTTCTGTAGAGGGAGAGAAATACATTTTGACGTTTTAATTGTTGATATTTCTGTCTAATGGTTCCTAAATTCTCTGTCGTTAATATTAATTCCGTGTTGGGAGTATTTTTATAGATTCTTAGTATGACGTCTCCGGTTTATAGAGGCAGGTTGTCGAGTTCATAAGTGCGACTTGTCAATGGTACTTGTCCTTAGACGCAGCCGATAATAAGCTCTTTACTCGGAAAGGAAAGCTCTGACGGAAGCCTCGCGATTCATATCGTTGTACGTTTCCGAAACTAGGGCATTCTCGAAATAGAAACAGTCAACTGGGGCAGTCAATGCCCAACTGCAAACAGACGCACGCGGAATTGCCGGCGGATTCCGCGTGCGATTTTTCCGAAGGGTTTTGCCTCCCTCGCCATCTCGCCCTCGCTTTTTCTCGAATCTCCGCGCTCGCATGAAATAAAAAACCGCAAAAGAAAGACCAGCAGGGTGAAAAAATGTTTCCTCACGAATGTAATCACGGGCCACATTGTTATCAACGAACGCGGAAAAGAGATCCCGGATAGCGAAACATTTTTCCGCCATGCATTGTCCTGCATTTTAGACGCCCTAAGTTTGCCGTTGAAGAGAAAAAAAATATCGTATCGTAGTTTGGAGGTAATTAAAAAAAATTAAAAATCTCAATGCAACCCCCTGGTAGACTAATCACCTCGCTAACTTGCCTGTTATCATTCCATTGTATGTCGTCGCATTCGCGTTGTCGCCATTTTGTGTGTGCTTGTTGAAATAATGTGCATCGTGCCGCCGCGATTCGACGTGTGAGCGGAATTTAGATTGAAGAAAGATTAGCAATTTTAATTAATATTTTTATACCAATTAAAAAGCTCACCCTCGAAGCGGCGCATTGCCTCTCGATTTTGGACGACTTCCGGCGCGGGAAGAATTTCCAAATTATTAATCATAATTCCGGAAGTCGTCCGCCATGCAAATTAACAGCTGCACCCCTTTACCCGTCATCGTTCATACCTCGAAGAATCGAAAAGCTGGCGCCAAGGTAAACGAAAAGCGAGAAAATGGTCTCCCGAAATCACGAGAGACCCTCGACCTCGACCTCCTTTCCTTCCAGAAACGACCCTTCAGAATATCCCTGTTAATTCGATAATTCCGCCCTTAATGGCCTGATTTCGTGACCGAGGAGGAACTTTTAGAATCCAATCGTTCCGACCTCAACCTCGCTCCCTCCAAGAACTATCGAATTTTGATCGCCCTCGACCTCGTTCCCTTTTTCGAAATTACCTTTCAGAATTTCCCTACTCGGTACTTTCGCCCTTAAGTGAAACATGCCGTGACCAAAGAGCAGCCTTTAGAATGAAATCGTTCCGACCTCGACCTCGGGAGCTCTAAAAAAGAGTGTGGAATTTCGATCGCCTTGTTAACCCGTCTGATTAATTGGATATTCCCGTCCTTCCGCCAATTTTCAATTCAACTTCGACCTCGACCTCGCTTCTAATTTCGTAATCTTCTGGTTATTCCGACAATCCTCCCCCTAAAAAACGCGATCCGCGACCCAGTTAATTTTTTAATCCGACCTCGACCTCGGTCCGAAATTTTCAATTCAACTTCGACCTCGACCTCGCTTCTAATTTCGTAATCTTCTCGTTATTCCGACAATCCTCCCCTAAAAAACGCGTTCCGCGACCCGGTTAATTTTTTAATCCGACCTCGACCTCAGTCCGAAATTTTCAATTCAACTTCGACCTCGACCTCGCTTCTAATTTCGTAATCTTCTCGTTATTCCGACAATCCTCCCCCTAAAAAACGCGTTCCGCGACCCGGTTAATTTTTTAATCCGACCTCGACCTCGCTTCTAATTTCGTAATCTTCTCGTTATTCCGACAATCCTCCCCTAAAAAACGCGTTCCGCGGCCCACCTAATTTTTTAATCCGATCTCTACCTCAGTTCGAAAATTTCCTCGGAGGTCGAGGTTAAAGCCAAAAAGCCTTTAAAGGACCGCGCCAGCTTTTCGACCTTATTCGGCCCCACTGCGATCCCCCGTTTATGTTGCGTGTTGGTGTTGGTGCAAGGGGCAGGAGATACCGATATACATTTGGTACGAGTCGTATCCGACCCACAGCGGCGAGGGCTACGAGGGCCGCGTGTCAAAAGTCAACCCCAACTCCTCCTACGGGGTGGCGAGCCTCAACCTGACCAACATCCAGGAGACCGACCAAGGATGGTACGAGTGCAAGGTCGTCTTCCTCAACAGGTCGCCAGACAGCCTGAAGAACGGCACCTGGTTCTACCTGGACGTTCACGGTGAGCCTGGACTCCCTTCTTCCTCATTTTCAGGGTCAAAGTTAAGCGGAGCCAAAAAGCAAGTTAAAAAGAAAAAAAAATTAAAGGTGCACACTTCAAGTACGTATAAAGACGAAGAACGATAAAGGGGAAAAAAATTCAGGTGAAAGGTAAAGGAAATAAAGGGAAATTAAAATGTCCCAGCAGGAAGTAAAGGGGAGGCGAGACAAAAGAGGTTATGATTCAGGAAACAAGGGGGAAGGATGGGAAGAAAAAAAAATGAAATTTACTCGAGTGGCGGTTTTGGAGGGTGGACCAAGAAGAGGAACCCGACGTGGTCCAGGGAAGCAGGAAGGAGGGAAAGGACGATTCTTGTCTCCTTCTCGAGGACACCTAGAAGTGCGTCTTTCGACCGTGAAAAGAGAGAAAGGATCGGAAACGCTCTTTTTTAACGGATGCCCTCTTCGGCCAGGAGCTGGAGAAGAGGAAACGTGTCCAGGACTCTTCAGGGAGGACGAACCCTGGGTGTACCGAATCGTTTGAAAATTTTACAACAAGAATATGGAGTCTATAAGGAAGGTCCCGACTCTCATAAAATTTCATTTTTTATACAAAATTATAAAAAAGCCTATAAACAAATTGTTAGAAAAATTGAAATTTCATGAGTTTCAGGACCCCCCTTATAGTCTCCACATTCACGTTCTGAAGTTTGAAACGATTCGGTAAACTCTATTCGGAGAAAGGTTTCATAAACGACACGACGTGACGTCTTCGACGGCACTTTAGCATCCCCTTAAAGCCTGGACACGATGATTCTTCTTTCCTTCGGCCATTTTGGAGCTCTTCGTCGTCCTCTTCTGGGTCGGGAAATTTTTTTTCTCCACCGATGGTCGATTTTTTTTAACGTTTCATATTTTGCTTAATAGGTTTATTGATAGTTTTATGGATTGCTTCGATAAAAGAGTTGAACGTTGGAATTTCCAGCACCCCCCAGGTTTAGCATAACCCCTGAAGACATGATCTACGTGAACCTGGGCGACGCCATAATCCTGAACTGCCAGGCCGAAGGGACGCCGACGCCGGAGATGCTGTGGTACAAAGATGAGCACCTGGTGGAGCTGTCCGACACGGTTGGGATCTTCAACGACGGCACCGAACTAAGGATCTCCTCCATCAAGGACGAGGACATCGGCGACTACACCTGTCTGGCCAGAAATGGCGAAGGCCAGATCAGCCACACGGCGAGAGTCATCGTCGCAGGTGAAACCGCGGAAAAATTAATTTCCCCACTTTTTAAGTGACCTATCTCTATTTCTAATTAATCCCATAACTTCAATTTCCCTGATACTCGTCGAGAAAAAACAATCATTACGACTGATGCGATTCGCAAGATATTTATCTAGATAACAGTCGATAGTATATTTGCGAGGGAATTTTTTTTCTTATCAAGCATTGCTTATGGGGTTGCGATATATTTTTTTTTTTTCTTTGATGGTGTGACATTTCACGCGTTCCTTCAATTATGCTCAAGCGCTGTGTGTTATTTTCGCATTTTCGATTCGCAAAATATTTATCTAGATAACAGTCGATAGTATATTTGCGAGGAGGGAATTTTTTTTCTTATCAAGTATTACGTATGGGGTTGCGATATATTTTTTTTTTTTCTTTGATGGTGTGACATTTCACGCGTTTCCTTCAATTGTGCTCAAGCGCTGTGTGTTATTTTTTGTTTTTTTCCCGATCCATCGATTTCCTCATTACAGTCCATAATCGCATTACTTGGCCGGTCCATAAGTCTCTGTTTTCGGGATTAATCGCGTGCCAATTGTTACCGATGACCTGCCGCGTAATGGGATCAAGCACCAGAGTGGATTTCGATTGCAATTCGGATTCAATTAGCCGAAAGAACTGCAATTCTGACCGGGGCCGATGGAAATTTAACGGGTCACTCGTCCCTTATTTTATCAATAAATAAACGCAGAGGTGCCCGGTAATCTCGAAATGCCGATGCGCGTTGATGTTCCGCTCCGGGAGGTATTGGGATGCCGATGTCAAAAGCAACGAGTCGTAGGAAGGGAGGGCAATTTATTTGGCAGGATTTTGCCGAATCGCAGTTTCCCAGGGACTTCCTTTCCCCCTCGACATACTATTTTTCCCCGTTCGATTATTTAAAAAAAAAAAAGAATCGAATCCCTTAACAATTGCAATTATTTCCATGTCAAGCGAATCAGAGAAAGAGGTGAAATAATTCCAGATGACGAAGAGAGAGGATGTTGCGTTCCGTCAAATCTCGGATTTCGAGGGTTCCACGTCGATCCAACCCTTTTATTTCCTGGGAAAGACCACCTAATTGGCAGATTTCGCCCGAGGACCCGATCCTACTTATTCATCCCGAAAGTGTCCGCAGGGAACGGAACGGAACGGAGCTGGAACCACTTTGCCTAACGCGAGTTTTATCGCGCGCCAACCGGCCGAACTGAGAGAATGCACCGAGCCATAAATTTTACGAGCGCGCCGGAAAAGATGCTTCGTCCTCGAGGTGTCCATAAAATTTATGGATTAAGGGGCTAGAACTCGACTTGCGGCATTTCCATCTCGCGCGTGATGCGCCACTTCTGGGCCCGAACGCCGCAACCCAACACACGAATGGGTCTTTGAACCGTCGAGATCGGTCATCGGTATCCGGGATTTTCCGAGCCATCCGAAAGATTCGGAAAACCCCCTCATGGATTTCCACTTCCTTTCAAGATATCTGGTCGACCTTGATGTATATTTTTTGGATCCAAGATGGCGGGATGGATCAGATGGTTAAGGGGGTAGTCGAGTAGCGTGGAAATCTCAGGCTCCACGTTTCTGGTATTTTCTTCCCAGTCTTCAAATGATGGGATCAGCTGATCCGAAGTTTCCTTTGCAACGCGGAGAATCGTGGCTAAAATCGTCCTCAGCGGACATTAAAGCCTCCCCGGTGGATGCAATCCAGGAAAGTTTAGTGCGTCGCCTTTGAATATTTACAGAGCGCAGCTCCTTCCACTAAATGCATCCGAGGGTTGGTGGTTGCTCGATATACAGACGGGACGCACGTGTCCCTGCACCGTGGTGGTTCCAGGGTGCACCGGGGGGTGCATTCGGACCGCTTCCTGACTCGGTCGACACCGAGGAAGGCTCCCGCTTGTATGCATGCCCGTTTTGAATATCATTACCCTTGTTTCTGGAGGGCTGCCGAGAGGAGAACCCTGGCCGACCCTCGCGAGCTGCCTTTCGAGATCCCTCGACGTTTCAGACGTGCACTTTATGCATCAATGCACTCCGCGCTTTAGTCACGAGCCCACTCGAGGGCCGAGTGCCGTCCCACCGGGTTTGCCACGCTTTCCTTCCTCCTCCGCCCATTGAGATTCCGTCTTTTCGAGTCCTACCCTCCTCCGAATCCGCGCCCGATTATGCACCTTGACGCGCTCTTTTATCTCCGGTCGATATCTCCACTGGACCGCCATCGAAATCTGCAGAGATAGGCAAATTAGAGGTTAAAGACAGTCCCCAGTAGCGCTGTTGGATAGATGAGCGAAAAAGGCGACGGAAAGTCCTGAGCAGTTTTTCGCAATAATCAATAGTTTCCGAGTTATCGAAGATCAAAGACAGGCCAATCGGGAGCGTGAATCTCCTCGAAGAGTGGGGCAAGTCGCGCGCTGATTTGCTGTCGGCGGCGTGGTAGGGATACGCTCCGCCCACCGTGGCTTCAACTCGCGATAACTCGCTAACGGCTGATTATTTCAAAAAGCGACATAGGACTTTTCGTCTCATTTTTTCCTGCTCCAGCGACTGCGACTATCGGAAGCTGAATACATTAAGGTAGAGCAAGAAATCGGAGGGTGGAGGTATTTTTAATATAAAAAATCCAGAGTGTACGGTGTTAAAAGTGTGAGGGCATGAAAATATACGAGCCATTACAGGCTGAGCCGTCACGTACACCAGGAGGCACCACCCTCGGTCGACCATCTTCAGGATTTTAAAATTCATCCCTCGTCCTCTCCCGCGGGAAGCATCAGGGTATTCCTTCGGGAACACCGAAACACGAGCTCCCTTTAATCTCACTTCCAAAGCCCCGGCGAAAAGGGCCGTTCCGAGGACGCGCTTAAAACTTTCATAAACTCCCGGAAGCTGTATCGAGGAAGGATCCTGCATCCTCAAGGAGCGCCCCATCCTCGCTTCCGGTCTCCGTGGCTCGCCCCTTCTTTGTCGGTCTTTTCTGCACGAAGTGACGCTAAAAGGCTCCGCCGGTCCCCGTTTCCTTCGGGATATACCGCGGACCGACCTCGCTGCAGCTGCACCTGATATGAAACACCTTTCGCAGGATTTATTAGATCCCTGCTCCCTGAAATTGTTCCCGTTCTCTGAAACATGGCCCACGCGTCCTTTCGCCATTTAATTTCTTCTCCTCCCTCCCGGGACTTTAATTCCACTTTTTAGACTCCACTTCCACTTCCGGCGTTCGTTTCGCAGGTGGAGCCACCATCACGGCGCCACCGACGAACCAGACCAAGCAGGAGGGCGAGAAGGTGCAGTTCACCTGCGAGGCCAAGGCGATGCCAGGAAACGTGACCGTCAGGTGGTTTAGGGAAGGCGCGCCGGTGATGGAGTTGTCGTCTCTGGACACCAGGGTGTCCATAAGGACCGATGGCAGTCTCGTCATCAACCCTGCAAGTGCCGATGACTCCGGACAGTACCTCTGCGAGGTCTCCAACGGGATCGGCGAGCCACAAACCGCCAGCGCCTATTTAAACGTGGAGTGTAAGTGCGGAAGAGGGAAAACGACTTCAGGATCCTTTTCCAGAGTGTTAATGCCTCTTCAACCTCTTCAGACCCTGCCAAGGTGACGTTCACGCCGACCGTCCAGTATCTGCCCTTCCGACTGGCCGGGGTTGTCCAGTGCTACATCAAGGCCAATCCACCTCTTCAGTATGTCACCTGGACGAAGGACAAACGTCTGCTGGAGCCCTATCAGACGAAGGACACCGTGGTCATGAACAACGGCTCCTTGCTCTTCACCAGGGTCAACGAGAACCACCAGGGCAGGTACACCTGCACGCCCTACAACGCCCAGGGCACGCAGGGGAGCTCGGGCACCATGGAGGTCCTCGTCAGGAGACCTCCCTTCTTCATCGTGGAACCGGAACCCACCTACCAGAGGAAGGCTGGCGAGTCCGTTGAAATGCACTGCGTGGCCCAGGAAGCAGAAGGCACCCAGAAACCGACTATCCAGTGGCAAAGGGTGACGTCCATTTCTCAGTTTCCTCCACCTTCTTCGGGACCAGGACTTAAGGTGGGACGAATGTGGCTTCTGGAGACAAATCATTTGTAAACCTACTTTTCTCTTACCTGGATCCACCGAAACTTTACCACGTGGGTGTGGAAGCCTTGGGGAAGGTCCCGACACCCGTGAGATTTCCCTGGTTTACATTTGTTTATTAACTTCTTTTACAATCCGGTATATCTGGTTAAGGGATGCCACTTTCGTGTCGCCTTATGGTTTTAGGTGTTAGAGAAATGCAGCAGGATTTTGTCACTTTTTACCACTTTTCCTGCAGAAACACACCAGCGAGAAGATTCGGGGCAAAGCTGTTGGAGGGAACCTCACTATCGACGCCCTGAGGAGCACCGATTTCGGAACTTATCAGTGCATTGCTTCCAACGAGGTTGCTACCATCGTCTCCACGACTCAGCTGACCATCGAAGGGACCCAACCACATGCTCCATATAATGTCACCGGAACCGCCACGCAAGTTTCCGTCACCATCAGCTGGCTTCCAGGGTACTCCGGAGGTCCGGACTACAAGCAAGATTACACGATTTGGTAACAATCCATGGATTGTTTATCTCTAGTGGATCCTTGAACCTGCATAACATATCATATCGTAACATATTTTTCTTTGACGGTCCGTCTAAAATCCGTAACTTTGGACTTGGTGGTTTTGGGGGGAGATTTGATATTTCTCGGGGTAGAGAGTGAACCAGGAGGTGGATTTCTAGGTACAGGGAAGCTGGGACCTCGGAATGGACCACGATCCCGGTTACTCCCTCGGGAAGCACGACCGTCACCATCAGCAGACTGACTCCAGGAACCGTCTACGAGTTCCAAGTCGTCGGGAAAAATGCCCTGGGTGATGGGATGTTCAGCAAAGTCATCACCATTCGCACCTTAGGTGAGATGACTATCCCCGGAAGTGCCGGGAACTCGAGGACTTCCTTTTGGGGACCTTTGGCGCTCTTTTCGGGTTCTTGGGTTCTTTGGCTTCGGCTTTTTCTACTTATCGCGACCTGATAGAATTTCCTTTTAGAGCAAAATCCCTCGTGAAATACTGTTCTGACTTTTTACTGCCACACAGACCCTGGGCTTTCGAAATCCGGGACGTCGACCTCCAACTCTGGCGGACAGCACGGGGAACAGATCGGTAAGATCGTAGGTGATCGAATCGATCCAATCGATAGTCGAGAGACTGTGCATTTCATTTCAGGGATTTAGAAGTAATTTAATAAATCCCAGTCGGCGTGACTAATGGAATATTTACGACGAGCCGGTAAATTAGACACCTTAAACGAGGAGAATAAACGGAATTATAATTTTATCAAATTAAAATGATACTCGTTTAATTAATCAGGGAGGAAAATAATTGAAAGTGTCGTAGTGGGTTTTTTTTTTTTAATAATTGAATCTGTTCGGGGTTCTTGTTTTTCTCTCCTTGGCTTTCAATTTCAGAATTTCGCCGAATTTTCCCTACTTCCTTCTTCTCGTATCTGGTTCGCACTCTTCCTTCTATTTCTCCAGGCACTCCCTTCGCGGTTTTATTTTCTAACAATCTGATTATTTGATATTTAATTATTTCTCACAGGGAAACCCGGTCACCCTCCAGTTGCGCGTCAGAAAGGTATAGACTTTTGATTTTTCCCTCGTTTTTTAAGTTTCACGTCCTCTTCCGGTCTCTCTACGTTTACCTTCCTGATTAGAAATAGAAAAAGAGGTGAAATGAAATTTGTACCCCACTCCGTCTACCCGCGCCCTGATTTATTAATTCATAATTAATGCTTCGCAGGGGTGAAAAACGCTACCCAATTTCATTATTTCCGAAGAGAGTAATTAAGGAAAAGAGAACTCCGAGGGGAGATAAATTTGTTGGTTACTTTAAAACCGTGGAAAATTTTCCAAGGGATTTTCACAGTGGAGACTAGGGGGAGCGGAAGGTTTATTAAACATGGCACGAGGAGACAATTATTTCGGGGAAAAAATCCATTATTCCTGGGAGTAATTCGCCGAGCGGATTCGCGTAATCGGGGCGAGCAGTTTTCCCCTCCTTTTATTTCTTTTTTTTTTCCCCGCCACCCGAGGGCGTGGAAAGCTCTCTGCGAGCGATTTTTCCATGCGGCGGCAAATCAAGAAGGAAATGACCTCATACATTTTAAACGGGACCAAACGCTCGAAACAATTCACGCCCCGCTAATTCCGCAATCCCGGGGATCCAGAAACGCCGACCGAATTGCCACCAAGCCGCGGAAAATCACTTTATTCCCGGCGACAATTTCGTTACTCGTGTACGCAGCAAGCGGCCGCCATTTTGGTTCCCTCTCTTCTAACCCTGGTATCAAAAAAGGAAAAAAAAAACATATAAGGACGCCTAAAGCTTGGAAATAAAACACTACACCCCATGAAAACCTCAAAATAAAAATAGTCAATAGAATACCAACAAGTTTTTTATTAATTTAATTCCCTCGTACAGATATCAAACCTGACGATTTTCAACCGGGAATAACAAACCGCCTTGATGAAAAATCCCCGATTAATTGCAGTCGCTGTTATTTCCCTTCCTGTTTTCATCGAAGGTCGAAAGGAGCGTTTGTCCGAAAAGGGAAAATGGGGAAATGTTTTCCCGGTCGTTAAAAGTAAAGAGAGCGAAGTCAACCCGAAGTGTCGCCACTCGGTGGACGCGTTTGTTGTCCCTAAAAAAAGGGGCGAGCATCCCGGTCAGCATTTTTGGACAGTTGTTCATTCGGATTTCTCCCCCTCGACTTTTTTTTTTTTTTCATCCCTTTTTTAACAAGCCTTTGTTACGCCCCGGCAAAAATTGCAGGGAACGCTGTCGATGGGAACGCATCCCAGGGAACGGGTTGTTTGCCTTTCGTTATTGCTGAAATGATTTCCAGTGTGCACTCCGGTTACCGTGGAATCGTTACATCGACCGTGAAAAGCGTTTAACGAGTGTCCTCGTTGCATATCTCGTCCTCTGACAACGCGATCCGTGTTATCTCTGAAAATCGGGATAAAAAATCGAGGCTCTTCGGGAAATTAATAGGAGGGATTTTTCCTCGGGGCGAAGTATTTTTAATCCCCTCGAGCTGATTTCCCGATCTCGAAAACACTCGTTTACCATTAATTTAATTAACAAACGTGGCATTTATCGCTAGGGAAAATCCTGGGAGGAATTCCCGGTCTCTGTAATTAATAATTAAATGAATGTACGAATAAACGAATTCAGGGGCGTGGGATAAAAATGGAGTAATTGTCCTGTTCGACGCAGTGTTACTTTTTAAACGGAAGGCTATGGGAATTTTTTATTGCTAGGATATTTAACGGGGTGTTGAGGTGTTATTGTTTACTAATTTTGGGTGCTTTTAACCAGGTCCAAAACCGGGGCCGCCCAGGAACCTGACGGTGACGGAGATCAGCAATGGTTTCTTGATCACCTGGCAACCTCCTTTGGAGAGAACCGACCTCATCCATTATTACACCATCAAGTACAAGACAGATGGGCCTTGGAAGACGCTCAACAAGGGGCAAATCCGTCCCGAGGAGACCAGTTACCTGGGTAAGAAGTAACCTGGATTCTTCCTCTCGCAAAAACCCCATCAGCGCAGGTCGCATCTACTCAGAAAGTCTTCTAGGAATAAACTTCCTGCAAAATCAGCGCAGGCAGTCCTGAATTATTAACCCCCTTTAAAGTGCCGTCCACCTCTGAAGGGACCGTGAAGAAGTAGCCGAAGAGCGAGCCTCCTGTAAAGCCCAAAATATCCCAAAATCCATATTTTTAATACTAGAAAATGATCTAGATAACCTTAGCCAGGAAGTGTAAATCTTGTTTTTGGGATCAGGGATCCTTGAATGATTTTCCTGTTTTTTTTTTTTATTTTATCTCGAGAGGTTAATTAACTAGAATAGTCCTGGTGGATTGTCAAGCTTGTTTTAATACCATTTATTTTGACAGTGAAAAACCTCGTCGGTGGTCGCACCTACTACTTCCAAGTGTTTGCTAACGGCGAGAAGAACTATGGCGCAAGTGACCAGGTGAAGTTTCCGGTTCCGGCCCGAGTGAAGCACAAGGCGATCACCGCGGGGGTGGTCGGTGGCATCCTCTTCTTCATCGTCGCCATCATCCTCAGCATATGTGCAGTGAAGATTTGCAATAAACGGAAGCGACGGAAGCAGGAGAAAGGTACAGGGTCGCGAAGATTCGGAAATCCGAGAAATCGTCTTTCCGTCTGAACGTCAACGCCTAAGTCGATCTCTAAATTCTGAAAAAAAATTATTCATATTTTCATGAAAATTATTCAATCCCTGCACTTCCGCCGAAACTGTTAATTATAATTTTACCATTAATATACAAGTATACAAAAAAAGAAGATCGACGACGCGTTGATCTTCAGAGTGTCTTCGTATTTCCTTCCGGACCTGCGTTCGACTCCCTCCTGTTTTTCTTCCCGTTTGTTTTATTATATTGCATGGCAATGTTTGTGGAACAATTGTAACGAGTGGATTCTACGGGATCGTAGGCAAGGCCGGAGTAATTATTCTTGGACCGGGTTTGCTTTGGCAAGGAAAATCCCGAGGCGAGGAACGCAGGCGTCGGGCCGCAACATCTCGAGATTCCGAAAGTGTCTGTGTGTGTTAACAACAGTTTTGTCAAATTGTAGAACTGCTTTCAGCGTATAACATGGTGGCCTGCAGGGTCACCGACTCGCGAAACGGCGCAGGGCAGGGCCCCCATGGAACAGTGCCTTTGAAAAAGTGAGTTTCTAGCGGACGAGCGCCGCATTTTTCCCAATTTTCTCCGTATCTTTTTTTTTTTAACCACGGATTTATATCAACCCGACGACCGTGGCAGTCTTCCGAATTTTCGTGAAAAATGCCACGGCCTAATTCCTAAGAACGTAGACCGCGGAGGTCGCACTCGAAGGGCTAAAAAATGAATTAAAGGGACAATTAATATCGGAATTTTCGGAAAATCTCATTGCCAATTTCGTGGACTCTGAATACTGCAGAGGGTTTGAAGTGACCGAGGCTCTCTGATTTGCATTAAAAAAAAAGAAGATGATTAATATCCAGATTATTAAGAGAGGGGAAATTCTTTACAGGTTTTCGGGGATTGATATTTAATTTTTCAGAGAGTTCGATTGCGACCTCGAAGAGAGACCACTTAGTCTTAGCTAGCATTAAGTCCCAAGAGCAATAGGCGACCGAAGCATCACAGCATTTACAATTAACTACACCCCTCACGAGCGATCTAGAACAATATGTATGCGCCCGATACATATCGCTAGAACGACTGAGGAGATTAAAAAGAAACTAGAAAGCGAAAATAATATACGTGGAATCCAAGAGACAAGAGGCAAGCGACAAGAGCGAGGCAAAGGCGACGGGCGCGGCAAAGTGGCAATGAACAAAGGAGTAGAAATTAATTAAGATTACCTGGAGACCGAAATTGGTATGATCCGAGCATCCGATGTATCAGATGGACGGCACGATCCGAATCTACCAGTCTTGGTTTTAATTTATCAATTTTTGGGAGATCAAACGGGTAAATTGGGGTGCTCGGATGATCCGAGTTTGCACTCCAAAGGGATTGTTTGGAGGCAGGGAAAAAAAATAGACAAGGGCCCTTTGTCTCCTTGCCTATCAGGGATTTCTACCCGAAGAGATTCCTCTGAGCGACATCGGCAGATACTTAACCGCAGCGGCAGAGGTATTTTGGACAAGAGAGAGGTCGACCAGCCAGTTGACATCTTGCGCCACCCTGTAGAGCGCCGAGATCTTGCGTCGCCCATTAGATAGGGCGATTCCGTGATAACGAGCCTGCCGGATCGCAAAGTGCACCTCGATTTTCGCGGCCCATTTTCGCCGAGCACTCCTTATCATCCAGGGACGCGTTATCGTTCAGGAAACGGCATCCAAAAGTCCACAATACGACTGCAGCGATGCCTATTCTGGATCATGACATTCCGCCATCAGTCGCGAATCATTCCCTGCCGACACGTCTTGGGGCCATTTTGTTAGCCAGCAATTTCTCGGCCCTCTTCATTTTCCGGGGGATCTTTACCAATTTTCTTTTTTTCCCCATTTCTCCGGGCTTTCAGCCGAGAGCTGAAGTCATCGAGACTCGGGACAATGACTCCGAAGAGGGAAGAAAAAAATGTTAAGGGGTGGGCTCTCGGGTTGAGATTCTTTTATTTTCCGGTGGTCTGGAATTGCGATCCATCATCATCATTGGTCCTTAATGATCGGATTATACGATCCCTTGATTTGGGACAGACATATCCAGAACGGGCTGGACGGTTCAGCCACTGCCGGGTGTCCGGGGCATCGAAAAACCAGCAAGTGGCTTTTCCTGATGATGATCATTAATTAAGCATTAATAAAGCTTGGTGGTTTTTCGTTCTCCGCGGCCGCGAGGGAAGATCAACGAAGGAAGAGATCCTCGTACTCGGAATTCCATAATTCACAAAAGACGTTCTCAAGAATTACTCTAAATTCTCAATATTGATCGCTTCAAAGATCGTCAGTTTTCCGAATTACACGAGATGTGCAGTAAATTATAAAAAAAAATAATAATCGTGCAAGCGATTAACGAGCACTCTACCTTCGCTAGAGTCATAACTGAAGGAAGTAAACGGGAAGAGAAGACGAAAGCGAAGGAGGAACCGAGGTCGGGTAGTCGGCTTCCCATAGGTACCGGGGTTAATATCGACCGAGAACGTATTATCTAAACCTCAATAATCAGCAGAGCCGGGTAAAGGCACGAGGTTCCGAGCAGCAGCGCGGAGAACCACTGGTGGGCGTCGCCGGAATCGGGAGTGGGGGTAGCGGCCAGCCAATCAGGCGGCGAGCCGCGTCCCCACTCCTGGGGCTGGGCGGTCGGGGGTCAGTGGTTCTCCACGCCGCCCGAATCGGCGTGCTTTTCCGGGTCCTAGATATCAGACCAGCAACGAGGAAAAGGTGGCGCCTCTTGTCCTCTCTCTCTGTGTGTTCTTCTGTAGGTCGACAAACCTAAACGCGTGCGGCGAGTCAGTGTCGACGCTGACCCGTTGCAGCCCGTTGTTGAATCCGCAACCACAACCACCACCTCTTCATCAACCACCACTTCCTACGCAAGTAACCCTCGCGAGCGCCACTCCGGAGCCGGTCCACGAGCAGAATCCCCCGAACCGTGATCACCACGCATTACATCTCGATAACTGCGATAACGAGAGCGTGTTTACCATAGAGAGGCGGAACAGTAAGCCCAATCTCCGCTAGGCGGCCCACGAGCCTGTGCGAGAGAGAGCAGACAGGACGAAACTACCGAAACTACCCGCTACCAGGTCCGCTACCAGCTCCGGGGACACTACCATATGTGTACATATACGTATTTGCGTACGTGTAGCGGTAGAGCGGCGCTGCCGCCCTGTCCGTCTCCTGTCCGTCTCCTGACCCGACCCGGTAGCTACCGAGGACAGTTCGACAGTAGTTTCCCCTCAATCTGAAAAACACCCCCGCGACTCATCCCACGACTCAAAATCACGCATCGGGACTACTGTCGGAGGAGAAACTACCGAGCCGACAGTAGTTTCGGTCCAGATCGGCTAAAAACTCCGCAATTGTTATTGATTCTTGGTAGTTCAATCCGAATCGAGCTTCAACGGTTCCGACAGTGGTTTCGTAGTTTCTTCAGCTGGGTTGGGTTGTATCTACGGATCTTCTTTGTGATTCTTCAAGAGGAGGCTGATCGACAGTAGCTTCTTGGACCCCTCGCGACAGTAGCTACTGGTTTGGGCTCCCAGCGAACGACAGGGAGCGACAGTGGTTGCGGCGCCAGCTGGTTGGGGAGTAGTTTTGCCTGACCAGCTGATCGGCTGACCAACTAACGCGCGAAACTACCGCTCTACCGTCTTACCTGCTAGGACCTACCGCTAATCTACTACCGCTACTTCTACCGATACCGCTACCACGACTGCGACTACCACAGCTACCGATCCACCCACTTAGGATGATTGTCATGACAGTAGCGATGAGAGACGAGCCTTTTTCGGCCGATTTTCCGGCTAGGAACTCCCTAGTACGTCCTGTCGGTACCGTAGCTACTTTATCCACTCTCGCGGCGGACCAGGGAGTACATAGATTGCGGACGGAGACACGGATGGGGTCTACTGTAGCTACCGACTGTGGCTACCGACAGTAGCTACTTTTCGGTGCACTTCGCGCGGACTCTCCGAGACTCTTTCTCTGTTTCTCTCTCACTCTCTCCCTCCCTCTCTACCTCGGTCTATCCATTTATCTCTTGATTTCTCGGTTGCTTTCCGCGTACTTACGAGTATTGTACTTGCTTATAAGCGACCATTTGTATTATCTTGCTTACCACTTGATTATACTCTTGCTCTTCAGTCGTTACATCTCGATCGTTCTCGCTCGCCCATTAGATCACTTTTGAATTGACTCACCATTTTCTCTCTCACTCGTTCACCTTGATTCGTTCGTATTGTCTCTACTTATCTTGGTAACGAATTTATATCACTGGAACGATTAGTGCTCCAAGTCGAGGCGGTCTTCACGAAGATTTCTTTTAGCATTCCTTTTTTTTTTTTTTCCTTTTAATTTGGATGCCATTTTTCAATGTCTTCGTGGACCGTCGGACTTTTTAAAGGCACATTTTTTTCGAATTTTCCTCGAATTTCATTTTCACCCCCTTTTTTGGTACGCGTTGGTGCGCAGGTGCATCGGCACGAATTAATTATTAGATCTGCACCCTTCAAGTCGAACACTTAGATGGTTCTTGCTTTCTCTTGTTCTCGTCGTTTAGAACGATGGATTCATTTTTGATAAATTTTTTTGACATATTTCTGGGGAGCGGAAGTTTTGGAATTTTTTCTTTCTTTTCTTTTCAAGAATTTTCTTAGGCTTTTGGGCGCGGTGGTTTTTCGTCTAATGGACATGTCGGAAAATCTGGATATTCCGTTCTCATGTATCTGTCTTCTATCCCTCTGAATTCTCTTTGTTTCCAGTTTCTCGGTTCTAGACGACCAATAAAAATATTCGCACCCGACGCAAAAGTAGGTACCCCTTTCCTAACCTCTTTCCCGGAGCTCCGGCATCTTCGTTTTGTCGTTTCCTTTATATCTGCACTACGTCCGCTCGTTGTGTCGTCTCCTTTTATATCCATTTCAGATTGTCAGCCATCTTTAATTACTGTTTGCTAATTAATCTCACTTAACAGCCCCTCGTTGTGTCCCTTTATTATTAACGATCTCTTGCGTCGGCCATTTTTCATGACTACTTGCTGAGTAATTATATTTAACATTCCCGCGTTAATTTACATTTGGACGAACACTGGTCCGGAAGAATTGCCACGTACGCCGAAATGCGCCTTTAAATCCCTTTATTTAATAATAAAAATCCCACGTTACCAATTTCCACACATTTTTATCATTGCATTTCAAGAGCGTGGCAATTTTATTCCGCTCTCGGTCTACCTCGTTTTTATTATTTACAAAAATCGACGTCCATCGGCCTGGGAATTATTTTCACCCTTACCTTTTCTACAATTGCAAGCAGTTCCCGTCTTTGCGGAATTAATATCCTAGATGAGAAATGCCGGAAATGAGAGTCGAAAGGAGATCCCACTAAAGTTCGTAAAACTCCCGATGCGAGAACTGCCTGTTTAATAATCATGCAGAATTAATTTTCATTTCCGCGGGACCTTATCAATCGTTTCCAAGGGTCTTTCTTTTCCTTTCTCTTTATCTCTCTCGACACGTCCCTTTGATAAGAGGCACTGAAAGTAGAATAAAAGAACCCTCGTCTCTACGGAGCGTATCTATTTGCTCCCTACACCACCGGCTAGCAAAGTACAGCTCGGTTATTTAGCATTATTACATTTCATTGACTCGTTATCATTGCCAGATTGTGTTCTTTCTCTTATGAATGTAATCGTTGTGTTACAACATCTCTCTCCCCGCTCTTTTCCCTGCTGCCGGACCCGAAGGAGGAAAAAAGGTGACGAGTTTCGGTGCACCTCAGATTCACGATTGCCAACCACCGAATGATATATTTTTCCGATGATTTTCCCGATGATTTTGTCGATGGTTTCTCGAGTCTCACCCGCTACGAGAATACGGACGAAAAGTCGTTACGATAACTTGCACCTGATAAGAGAGATTAACGAAATATATCCGTACAGTACTCGTTGGCAAGAGCGCGGTCAGAAGTTTCGGAAAATCCGGGAAAGATTTTCGCGACTTTTTTTCCGCAATTTTTTTTTGCTCTCTCTCTCTCCCTTTTCTTTTTTCTCCTTTTTTTCGAGGTCGAATCCGCGATTGACGACCCACCACCACCTACACCACCTACGCAAAGACCCGATGATTCCTCACCTTCACGTCACGTACGACTGTTGCACATGAATGTGCATGCGCATGCGTAATCCTCGCCTGCATCCGGTTAATTGCGTTTTCGATTGCCGATCGATCGTTACACGGAACGCCCTTGTCATTCCGTTATCTATTTTGTCTCTTAACTCTTACGTTGCCATGACTGAGTAATGCCGTTTTCTGCACGCTGTGTCCATTTTTTACGTGTTTTACGGAGCGCCGCCGAACGCGTCCGAAATCCAGGAGAAAATTTACATTTTCTTCCCCTCGACCTAAACATGTACATTTCGCAAGTAACATCGTTATTACGCACTCAAAGACATTGCGTGAATTTTTTTTCCCGGCAATTCCGAATTTTTTTTATGATCAATTTACGTGAAAATTACATTTTTTTCTGTCGAGATGCAAGAATCATAAATATATATATATATTCCGCAAGTAACATCGTTATTACGCACTCAAAGACATTGCGTGAATTTTTTTCCTGGCAATTCCGGATTTTTTTTATGATCAATTTACGTGAAAATTACATTTTTTTCTGTCGAGATGCAAGAATCATAAATATATATATATTCCGCAAGTAACATCGTTATTACGCACTCAAAGACATTGCGTGAATTTTTTTCCTGGCAATTCCGGATTTTTTTTATGATCAATTTACGTGAAAATTACATTTTTTTCTGTCGAGATGCAAGAATCATAAATATATATATATTCCGCAAGTAACATCGTTATTACGCACTCAAAGACATTGCGTGAATTTTTTTTCTGGCAATTCCGGATTTTTTTTATGATCAATTTACGTGAAAATTCCATTTTTTTCTGTCGAGATGCAAGAATCATAAATTTGACGTCGGAAAATCCTTTTCAACAATGCGGAAAATTGAGGTTAGAAATTTAACGAAAAGTAAACGTAACGAAACATTTCTTCAGTTGCAAGTGAAAAAATGAAGGGTCTTAAGAAAGGAAAGAGGAGTTTCATTTAAAAGGCATTTTCTCCTGGAAAAGGCGCGTCGACGTCGTTCCCATCTCCGAGAAGGCCAATCCCGCGTCTAACGCTCTTTCCGTCCTGACCGTAGACCTAGAAAAAGCCGAGTACCAGGTCTAGGTCTCCTGCGGGAGATCCTGAGCCCGGACACGCCGGACTCCTGCCGAGGGCGTCCCCTGGGGAAGATCTCGCGAGCAGCGGATGGTCGCTTCGTGATAGCGGACTCGGTGCTGAGTTCGGCGAACAACAGCATCCTGGACGCATCGAGCAGCGACGACGGAGGTTTCCTGCCGAAGAGCAGCAGGTTGAAGTCCTCTTGGCGTCGCCCCCTGGTGGGGACGAGCAGGTTGAGCCTGAGGTCCGAAGGCAGCGGAGTGTCGGGGGGGCACCTGGTGAACGCGCTGAACCTGGTGAACCGTCAACAGCCAGTGGTGTGCACGATCTCGTCCCCTAGGTTCCTGGCCCAGAGTTCCCCAAGCGGATGCCAGGTGGTCCCGGGTGCATGGTCTTCGGTGTACCTGAGCGACCTGAGCTCGGTGCGACACCCGTCGTCGGGGGAGCGGTCGTTCCCCACGCCGCCAGGGTATCAGCACCTGCAGCTGAGGTCGGTGCACCAGAGGTACAGCCAGGAACTGCCGTCCCTGCGAGCTATCCACGCCGAGTCCAGGAGGTTCGTGCCGGTGCAGCCGCTGGCGACGTCCTCGCCGCCGCAAACGGCGGGGAGGTCGAGGGCGAGGCTGCCTCCTAGACACGCGCGGCACGCGCGATCGGCCCCGGAGCTCGCGGCGACGCCCGACCTGGAGACGAGCCCGGAGAGCAGGTCCAGCAGCTCCGGCTTCGGGAGCAAGAACACCTCCCAGCAGAACCAGAGCTCCAGGTCGGGGAGCACGGTGGCGGAGTGGAGGCCGCCGCCCTACCGCCCGCCACCCCCTCCGCTGGTAGGAAGGTGGCTGGAGCTGCAGGACCCCCGGGTGGAGGCGAAGCTGCACCCTGGCCAGACCCTGCACCCGCGCACCACCCCGGTGGACGCCGGCAGCGTCGACGGGCACTACGAGTTCGACCCTGCCTCCTGCACCCCGACCCCGACCTCGGCCTCCACGCCCACCCGCGAGGAGCGACCCCCGGTGCACCAGCTGCACGCCCTCCACGTACCACACGTGCACCACCAGCCCGTCAGGTACTCCAGGGATAACATCGAGGCCAGGGTCCAGGCCATGAAGGCGGAGTTCCATCAGTTCAGGCAACGGCAGGCCAGGAGGAGAAGGAGCGCCCACTTGGAAAGCGCCTGCTGAGGTTGGCCCCCCACCCGGACCCTCCTAGGAGGGATTCCGGAAGGGGCGACGGATACCGGGAGACCAGGGTGTTCGCCGAGTTCCTCGGTCAGGGGATCGAGGATGCTGGGGGACGCCAGAGTGCATCCGGTTCGGCGTCGCCCGAAGACTCCGAGAGCGGTGGGCAGGGGTGGGTCCGGACCCCGAAGAAGGGCTTTCAGGGAGTAGAAGAGGAGGCCGAAGTTCCGGTGGTTTGGGACCTGCACGACTCGAGGAAGGTGGGCCCCGAAAATGAGAAGTCCTTTCCTTGAAGACGACTCGACCCTGCTTCTTGCACCTCTGCACCGACTCCTGCATCCGCTAGAAGGGAGCCTGCGACTCATGTGCCTCACCTGCATCAGGTGCATACCGCTCATCGTCACCGATTAGGTATTGTAGGAATAATTTCGGACGCGACATAGACTGAGGTCCACTTCGGTCGGAGACGTTCATCCAAGGTGGTACCCATGGAAGCGATGGTAGTCCACAGGTGACCAACAGGTGCAGATCGGCGTCGACCAAGACGGGTACCCGAGGACCACCTTCAGGTCTCTCTGGAGTAGAATCTGACGTCCACTCGCCGAGATAGACGTCCTTATCGGTGCATCAAAGTGTCGCTCCAGTTTCCAGAAAAACGCTGGAGTCCATATGATCAGCCGTGAGGACCCAAGATGCGGTACCGGATCTTGGGTCCATCTCAAAAGTCCACGTCTGCATTGTTCCTACCATGGGACATGGACGATGGAGTCCAATCGCAGACCCTGAAGACCTGTGATGATCAGTCCGGATCCAAGTGCAATGGAATTATACATCCAGGAGGCATCGGCATCTTTTTCTGTAGGTTGCTCCCCACTTGGACCTCCACCCAACACGGACAAATGCGTTTCCATACGACCTACACGACAACTAGACCAACGAAGCTGCGGAGCCACCGAGGGCGACCACGAAGAGGTTGCCCATCCAGAAGAAGACCACATCGTGGAAATCGAGGGCATCCCCCGGGAGTTACTGGACCGAAACAGGGGGTGCAGGGCCACTTCTGGGTGACGTTGCTGGCGATTCCTTCCCCAGGGAACTAGGAAGTCCCTAGAGGTGGCGCCGCGGCACCCTGAAGAATCCCCCAAAGAAACCCAATGAACTTTTCTGGACACCCGTCGATGCCTCGACGAGGCCCCTCGTGGGGGGTCTAACGTTAATCGTACTTCTAAGTATTTAAGTAACGAGGAAACACACGCGCGCGACTCGCCACACACACACGACACACCTACAAGTATAAGTATCGATGAGCAATGGACTCGAAACCGTGATATTAGGCCGAAGCTTGCCTCGAGATTGCTTAAGGACTCACTCGTACTGCACTGCCTGTTTAGGGTTTCGCTAGCGACCCAACATATTATCGGCACAATAATTTTTTCCTAAGCAACGTAAACGAGATTCGAGTAAGACGCGAAGCCGTGGTCAATTTCCAAAATGGCGCGGCCCGGGCGGCGCGCGCGAGGCGTGGTACCGACTAATTCCGACTTTCCGCCGTAATTTCGCTTTCCACGAGAAAACGCTTTAGACAAAAGTTACTCCGGCGGCGATTCTGCACAACTTTCGTCCGAGAGGTTTCTTTCCCCCGTCGACGGTTGCCCCGGGAAAGCACCGCGTCCGACGGCGTCCTCGCGCGGCGCCGCAAGTTCCACTAATTCGTCTTCGGCACGCGTCACCTCGGGAAGGAAAAAATCCGCCTTCGAGAATGCCAAGCAGATGCCAGAAAAAAATACGCAAAAGGGAATGCTAAAGGAAGAATCGGAAGGCTGGCGACTTTTGGGACTGCTGCGTGTCCAGGTTTTCGTTGATGCGTGAATCTCGAGTGTCCACCCTCGGGCCTTTCTACCTTGCGGGTGTCTGAAAGCATTTTACTTTTTTTATAGTACAAACGATTATTTATATATACATATTATATATATTATATATATATACATGAACTTAAATAATATAAATATATTAGCGAGGGCCCTACTCACGATTCAACTATACTTCGACGAGACTACGGAAGCGAGCCGCTGTTAATAAGTTGTGTATAATTACGAGGTTGCGAGAGAGTGATTTAGGCGGAAGTCCGAATGTATGTTGGTGAATGACATATATATATATATATATAAAAAAAATAAATATATAGATATAAAAGCGAGAGAGAGATAAATAAATAAGAGCGAGTGCGGATCGGAAAGAGACGACGCGAGGGAGCTCGGACAACTCGAGGCGCGCGAAATTCGAATCGGAGAATGCCGGAAGAGACGGGTCCGGGTAAACGACATTAAGGAGACGCTAAAAGAGTACCAATATTCTAAACTAATTCTAACGATCGAACTTTATTAATTTGATAATTCATTCGTATTGTAAAGTCGTTACGGCGTAGCGTTACGTAGGGGGCGCAGCCGCGAGGGAGTTGCGCGGGGGTACGTCTTTTTAATACCGATTGCCGTTGTATCATATTAATAACTTAATGCGTACGTATACATATATATATAAATATATAAATATATTTATAGGCGATTACGACGTAACGAGGAATATTCGAATCACGTCTCGGCGACCCTCGAATGGCAGCCTTTTTGCGAAGCGCTCGGTATCGCGAGGCCAATGTTTCTTTATATTATTAATTACATTAAAAATGGAAATCGATGAGAATGCGCACCTTGGAAGAATAGTAAACGTATTTAGTGTTAAAAATAAGCCATCCGTGTTGTGTAATGAAAATGAATCCTCTCCACGAGAATATCAAACGCTTTTCTGCCTGCGCCTTGAGCACTTATTTTGTGAACAAGTATGTTTGCTGTTGATGTTTTTTAAAATTTGTGACTTTTTTTTTTTCTATTGAAAGTTGAAGATATTTCTGCATATTTTATTAATGTTGGCCCCGCGGTATCTGTCGAGGGTTGGGAAATGGAAGGTACCAACCGTGTACAACTTCAGCACGCTCAGCAATTACGCACACGTTGGACCGCTCCAGGATTTATCTTGCAATGCGAAATTCCGCACAAAGGCTATTGTCGGCAAATTCAAAGACTTAGAGTACCATTCCTTCGTTAGAAGGTAGAAAGTGCATTCGAATTCGTCGTTACGGACGCGAGATCGATCGAGGTGGTGGGTCGGGAGGTTAGGTCCGAAATCGGCAGATGGCGCCACGAAGCAAAAGATTTTTCAACCGTCACCTCGATTGACTTTTCGAGCGATTTGAAAACCCACGATAAATCCTGGACAGAGAATTAACGGGTGCTTCCCAGGAAAGGCACACAAAAGATATACCTTCAAAGACCTTCAGAGAACGTCACTTAACTGCCAACTCAAAACCATGATCACAAATTTGAACTTGCTCCCCCAAGGAAACCGTCCCCAAACCCGGAAAACCCTTACAAATCGTCACCGTACATCCATTAATATATTTGTATAAAATATTTTCTAGTCAATTTAACCCATGAACCCGAAAATTGAGGCAAACCAACATGGCGGATGCGTCGTGAACATGGACGTAAGAATATATCTTACGTCCATGGTCGTGAAGGAGGAAAGCAAAATTCTCGATAAATATACATTTCTAGAGTTGGCAATTGTGTCTGGGGACGACTTTTGTGTGACTTTTCGAACCTAAAAGGCATTCTCGGAATGTTAGGAAAGCCTGCACGATCGACACTCTGAGGAAACAATAAGCAAGGCGAGGATCAATCGCTCTCGTATACCGTGTCTGAATATGGAGCTTAAACTTAAGCTTTTAAGTCCTACGCCGAGGTGGGAAGCGATAGGCGTAAGTAACGTGTAGATATATCATAGTTAGGCACAACGATCTCAATATGAACGCATGGTTGCGAGTCGGCGAGGAACCCTCGGTAAAATCGGGAAGGGATTAATGAAAAGGACCGCAAATACTGCGAAGGTATATTGTCCGAACTGTGGATACATGGCGAAATGAGGAAGCGTTCTTCCTCGTTAAACGGCGATTCCTTTTCGTCCCTTCGGCTCCTTCCTCCTCTTCGTTTCGAACTCCCGGCGACTCGGCTCGACTGGCTTCGACTCGCGCGTCGCTCGTCGCTCCATCTGGCGGTAGGCGGGCTTTTTGAATGTCCTTCCGAACGCGCCCGACCGATGCACGCGCTCGACCTAGCGCCACGCGATTTTGGCGGCAGTCTCTCTCGAAGACCTTGTTAACGCGATTATTATTTAAACCCCCTTCTCGATGAAAGAAGAGGACACCCTATTCCGACGCGCTCCTCGACGAGTGCACTCTCTCTCGACTAAATATTGTTTTGTATTTGTAAATTATTGATTTTTAGGTACTTCGGTAGCGTAGGAGGTATTCTTACATTGGGTTCCATTAAAGAAATTTATAATATAGAATTGTCGCAAGAGTTACTTTAACCTCCCCGATATCACGACGAACTTCGCGAGGCTAAATCGCGAAAAAAAAAATCGATCACTCAAAGTACACGTAAAAATTATGGAAAAATTATATTTAGCGGGTTCATTAACTCATGTACATTCTACAAGTCTAAGAGACTCCTTGGAGGACTTCTCGGGTTAAGTTTCAGGATAATTATGCTCTGGAAGCTCCTTAAACCTCTTTTCCTGCCTCGCCAGGACTCTTCGACCAATCCTGTGCAGATACCTGCCGGAGAAAAAGCAGGAATTAATTAATGCAATTGTGGTTAGGGGAAATAACTTTTTCCCACAGGTGGCGGAGGACTTTTTGTCGGTATTCGTCAGGAGGATTCGCAGGTCCTGTAGTGGTCCCGGAGGAGTCCTTTCGATGCTGCTCGGCTCTCCCTTACATCACCGCCTGGACGAGACGCACACGCTAACGTAGGCGGTGGTAACATCAGCCTCGAGTGGAACAACCGCATTCCAGAATGCAGACGCAGAAGATGTGCACGGAAGGGAAGACGAGGAGGAGAGAGTGGCGTAACCTGTTGAGCGAGAGAGAGAGAGAGAGGGAGAGGCCGAGAGGAGACGCTCTTCGGGTTCGCGAATCCCTTCAGGGCTGAACTTGAATATTCGCGAATTCCCTTCTACCTGGCCGAACTCCTTAAGAACCTCTTTAAAGGGCTCTTCAGACCCAACAAAGCGTCGACTTGCACTTCAAGGTGTCTTCGGCGTCGCTTCTTGCATTATCCGATTTTTCCGAAATTTCCTAAATTTCCTAAATTTTCAGAATTCATGACAAATGGTGGACTTAGGGAGGTGTGATTAAGGCGGTCGTACCGTTTGATAGTAGAGTGAATAATCGTTATAAGAATGACTGTGTAAATGTTAATAAATATATTGTGGAAATTCCAAGATGGGGTATTTTCATGGTTAGTTATAAAAAATGCAGAAAAAAAAGGGGAAGAAATAAAACACCGTCATACGGTACGACTGCCTTGATAAGACGAGATAGAGTGAATAATCGATATAAGAGTGACTGTGTAAATTTTAATAAATATATTGTGGAAATTCCAAGATGGGGTATTTTCATGGTTAGTTATAAAAAATGCAGAAAAAAAAAGGGGGAGAAATAAAACACCGTCATACGGTGCGACTGCCTCGATAAGACGAGATAGAGTGAATAATCGATATAAGAGTGACTGTGTAAATGTTAATAAATATATTGTGGAAATTCCAAGATGGGGTATTTTCATGGTTTGTTATAAAAAATGCAGAAAAAAAAGGGGAAGAAATAAAACACCGTCATACGGTACGACTGCTTTGGTAAGACGAGACGAGTATAGTGGGATGGTTTTAGTAATCCCTAAATTAAGGTGTAGTCTTAGACATGTACATGGATAGGTGATTCACCAGGTCGACTTTTCCCCTCATCGGACTCGTTTCCGGTGGAAGGGGGTCATTGACATCGGAAAAGAGTTAATGGGAAGGGAGTCTCGCTCTAAGGGGTCTCTCCTCGTCCAGGTAAGAGCCTCGACTTGAATGGCGAGCAAAGTCTGCACAAAAGGTGAGGCTGGTGTCTGTCTAAGGACAGCCGAGGAGATTCTTGCGTTTCCACCGAGCCCATTCCACCTTGAAGAGGTCTTGAGGAGTCTTCAAGAAAGAGGCAAGCTTCCCTCTTGACCGGAAACTCTTGCCGAGACTTGTCGAAAGTGCCCCCCCCGAGTTGGCCTGGAAAAACTGCAGGCATTAAATTCCTGGATCCTTTGGGTAAAAAAAATAAAAAAGTAAAAAAATTAATAAACGCATAAAGGTAACCATACCATCTACGATCTGCGTTTATCATTGCGAGATGGCGTTAAATCGTCTTTCACCTCCAGACAAATGATTATCCTATAAGTTACCGAAATACTTCCTTGCTTCAATGATTTCTTTTTTTCTTCCCCAGGGCAACGGGGAATAAAATCACTCGGACATGTGAGGTAATGAGATATTACGCAAAAGTATCGTTTTTTTGGCAAGCCTTTTCAAGCAAAGCTTTTCTCCAAACAGGATGCACCGAATAATTTGAAACTCCGGCACGTGATTACGGAGGCCCTAGGGAAGAACGCGATGCTCGTGAAAATTCATTTTTCACAAGGAAAAAAAAATGCGACGTTGGTTCTAGGCTAGGCTAAATAAAGAGAATTTCTTACTGAAAAATAAAACGTCACGAGCATTGCGTTCTTCCTTAGGGCCTCCGTAATCACTGTTTCAGATAATTAGGTACACCCGGCTTGGAGAAAAGTTTGATTAATATTTTGACGCTTTATACATATAGAATGACCCTTTCGTGTCACATTAAGGGAATCGAATGGGAGAAAATGAAGAAGCTGGGGGAAGGGAGAGACGCTGTCCCGGCCGGTGCGAGATAAAAAAAGATGAACGGATGCAGGGAACGAAAGGGAGGCTGAACCGAGTCGCCCAGTTTGGAGAAAAGTTTCATTAATATTTTGACGCTTTGAAAATAAAAAGTTTCATTAATATTTTGACGTTCGAATGGGAGAAAATGAAGAAGCTGTGGGGAAGGTAGAGACGCTGTCCCGACCGGTGCGAGATAAAAAAAGATGAACGGATGCAGGGAAGAAAACGGAGGCTGAACCGAGTCGCCCAGTTTGGAGAAAAGTTTCATTAATATTTTGACGCTTTGAAAATAAAAAGTTTCATTAATATTTTGACGTTCGAATGGGAGAAAATGAAGAAGCTGTGGGGAAGGTAGAGACGCTGTCCCGACCGGTGCGAGATAAAAAAAGATGAACGGATGCAGGGAAGAAAACGGAGGCTGAACCGAGTCGCCCAGTTTGGAGAAAAGTTTCATTAATATTTTGACGCTTTATACATATGAAATGACCCGTTCGTGTCACCTTAAGGGAATCGAATGGGAGAAAATGAAGAAGCTGGGGGAAGGTAGAGACGCTGTCCCGACCGGTGCGAGATAAAAAAAGATGAACGGATGCAGGGAACGAAAGGGAGGCTGAACCGAGTCGAGGTTGGTTGGCTGGAAGGTTTATAGCACGAGGAGCGACGAGAGGTAGGGGAACGTGGTTTCGCTCATGGTATAAGAACCAAAGGGCAAGGTGTAGAGGGGATCGGATCTTGTTAGCCCTGAACTTGGCCGCGGGAGAATCGCTTGAACGAAGCCGCGTCACGCCCGTCTTCTTGCCTCCTCGGAACACCTTCCATTATCTGGGAGAAGCCTCGGAAAATCCGGACTTACCAGCTCCAAGGGGGAAATTTCGAGCTGCGAGGTCAAGAATGACTTAACTTAGGGAAACCTACCTGGTAATTAATTTATACGGACGATCTCTCGAAGTTAATTATGCCGAAGGCAACTTCGGGTACTCGGTTCACTCAGGAAAGCAACAATCTCCTCGGATGTGACCTGGCAGACTTCGTGGGAATCGGGATGCCCATGTGGTTTAATTCCGAAAAAAAAACCGTGGGTACCTAGGTAGGCTTGGTTAATTTTTTTTTTTTTATCCAATCCGAGATAATCGCCCATGCGAAATGTGGAAATAAATAAACCATTCTGCGAACCCTGGAAATTTCCCTGTCGAAAGTGGATTTTAAATTTGGTAATACAATTAATTTCCTATGTCATTTAATTTATTTTAATTATGGGGGGCACAGTGATCCGCAGGGAAGTCGAAGGAGATATAAATAAAGCCTCCAGGAACGATATCAAGGCCCGAGGGCATTCACGAAGCGTCTTCATCGTCCTCTTCGGCTTTCACCGGCACATCTCGAGGATGCTCGCTCGAAAGATGCCTCGATCGCCGATTTCCCATTCGTTTGTTACTCTCTCTCTCTCCCCCCAGGAAACTCTATCCTGCCAGGAAATGAGAGAAGACGTTTCCTCGGGGATTTTGCGAGGCCGAGAGCGCCGTTCGGGATTTCATTCAGCTTTCTAGAAGACCGACATTAGTGTCGCGTCCATCGAGGTGTCCTCGTACCACAAAACACCACGACAAAGGCCATATAAATAAGTACCCTATACATTAACCCGGAAATGCCGCATTAGCGTCATTGACGTGACGTTTGTTTGATTTTTAGAGACGCCGTCTTCAGGGTGTTCTTCGGGGACGACTGCCCACCTCGATGAGAACCTCAGAGATGACTATCCCAGGTATTCAGAATTACCTAGTTAGTCCAATTAGTCCGGTAATTATTTAATTTCAGGATCGAGTGACGTCTTCAAGGTCTTGGCCAGACCCCACGCCTCTTCCTGCTTCCGATTGGGATCGATTAATTCCAATCGCCGTACCCTCGAACTTGATTCGCCGCCATTACGAAACTTACTTTCTACGAAGACCTCGAAAAACCACTGCTGATCGAGTCAGCCGTGAAAGTTCTTCCTTCGGATGACGAGACCTACACCAAGGAGTGCTCTTCGAGTTGTAACCGCGTTGTGCCTGGAAGACCCTGAAGAGGAACATTTTTCTTTTTTTTTTAGTGGGGCCATTTCCGGACTGCTCTTCAGGGTCTGCATTTAGGGGAGGTCCTTTGTCGGCACTCTTCTTCAACCCCTGCCGATCTAACGGATGCGTGGAGAAATTCCTTCCGTTACATTTGCGTTCCCACGTGCGAGCAATGCGTTTGCAAGCGTGCTTTGTGCACGCGTGCACTTCTGCAGCCCTGCACTCCTGCACTCCCTACACCTACACCTCGCTGCATTCAAGGTCTCTCCTGGAAATTTATGGCCGCCACCTTTGAACCGCCTTTCGCGCTGTTCTAGGAACTTCCCGCGTTATAACGGGGTCCCTAGCAAAGACTCGTTAAGGGCCCTTCCATCGGCGTGAAGGACCTTCAAAGAAAAAAAAATAGTCTGACATTTCTTCCTCCAATATGCTCCTGACTTTCTTGCGGACTCTCCACTATTTTCTTCATCGCGATAACTCCTGATCCTGAAATCATTTTTTTATTTGCCACTTTTCGAAGAAATATTTCTTTGGCTCAATCAATTCTTTTCCCTCGGTGGGGATACAGAGGTTAGAGGGTTCGAATCCACCGAACGGACATCAGTATTTTTTTTTTTTTTTTCGTTTCAAATTATTTATTATACACTCAGGCAAATATTTTCTTTGTGTTTGGATTTTTCGGATTGTGTGGGTAGGAATGGGTTAGAACGGTTCCTTGTACCAGTTTTCAGAGATTGTGGGAATCTATGATCGCTGCCTAGCGGTACACCGTGTAAAAACTTGTCTTCCAAGCAATGCGTTTCTTGATTGTCTCTTGACTTTTCCCCTTTTTCCCTTAATTCCACCGACGTGTTCCTTTCGTCATATCTCTCCATTTTCGTAACATGATTCACCAGCTCTTCCCATGGGCATTTTTGCAGACAATGGAGAACCACAATGCAGTTTCCTTCCCACCATTAGGCGTGCATCTTGCACTCGAAGTCCACTTTTAACAATCGGGCCCGTCTCTTATCTGCGCGATTAATCCTTCCTTCTACGTCATGCGACCGAAGAAAAAAATGACTTGGAAGGAAAAAAATTAAAAGGGAAAATCCACCGACGATTTTGACCAGTGTCAGCTATTATCGGGAATTGTTAACCACTCTCGTATGATAATCTTTCGGTCGGAATTTCGAAAAAATTAAAACAGTGGGTTTTTATATGTTATCGAATGGTCATTATCAGTGCTGATTAGACGGCCGCGAATATCTTGTAATTCCGATTTTTTTCTGGAGTTTTACTTCACTATCGCATTTACGACATTCTCGATAAACTTATCGACATGAACTGCTGTTAACTTTTCCTTGATAATACTTTCCAGACATTTTTCATGAGCTGCATAGATATTGGGATTTATATAAGCATGAATCAGTCGACGTCATGAACAACGTCATGTCTAAGTCGTGGATATGAAAATGGATATTTATTTAAAAATGAAATTTATACTCCTGTGGAATTATTTGTAAAACTTGATGTCAACACTTGTCATTCATTTTCTGCGATATAATTTTTCTGATACTCTTCCTGAACATTGTCTGGTTCTTCCAGATAAAATCTTGACGTCATCTGATCATCAATCATCTCAGGTCTGTCAGTGGGGGATTATCTCGAAAATTGACGATTACAAAATCGCAACATCCAAGATCTGTGTCATTGATAAAATCTGGGGATAGGGTACTGTAATATTAACATTTTGCTGTGCTTATCAGTGATCCGTAACACCTCAGTCGATTTTTCAAAAAGTCTGAAAATTATTCAGAAATTTCTGTGCGGTGAAAAAAAAAAAATTTATTTCTAGATGCGAAGGATTGGGAGTGATCGGAAAAATCGTTTTAATCGGAGGAAAAGGTGGGGGTGTAAAAAAAATTAATTTCTAACCTTCTTTAAATTCTACTTTCTATCTTCTTCGCATTCCAGAGCTGACCCAGGAATGGCCGAGGTTCTGTTACTCCTGGGATCGAAGTTAATTAAAAGGTTGTAAGCTAATTGGGTCAGCGTTTCGCAGACTTGTTAATCACTACCAACTGAAATGCAGTTTCCTTCCCTGAAGTTTCCTGGCAGCAGCTCATTGGCCTCGAGAAAAATCTTCCGGGTCGAGAGATCATACGTTCCCGCCGCGAAGGAAACGAGTCACGGACGGGTGTTTATCACGTCCATATCTCAGAAACCGTGAAGTTTACGGAGAAATCGGTAAGACTCAATTCTATAGATCACTCGACGATCTATAATTTCTGTCATATCAAACTTTGACCTAGAAGCAACCAGAAGCGATTTAGGTTAGAAAAACCCGACCTCTGCACAGACCTCGAAGTTCTGCACTGCACTGATAAAAAAACATTCGACAGTCATTGATAGTGTTCCGTGCCAGAATATTCAGTCCAATCAGTGCACCGAAAATCGGGCCATTCAGACTTTGGCTCGGATTATCCTGAAATAAAAGTGCCTGTATCTTTACCTTATCACTGATGTCTAAAATTGGCATCGTGGGTGGGCGAAGTTCCTCGAATTCGTTTCTCTCTTCGCCAAGGGAAAATATTGGAAATAAATCTTGAACTCCAATCGAAAGGTTTACGAAGAGGTAGTGATAACGGAATCGCGATATCGTTAAATAAATAGTAATGAAGTAAAAGATTTGGTGCACTGGTACCGAAGTACTTCGAAGACGGACAAATAGAACTTCCCGTCTGAAGTCTCCCCAAAGAATAAATCCGATATGGAAAATGCCGTACTCTGATAACGATTCGATAAGGAACCTGACACCATTCTCACGGGAACCTGAAAATTGGTCAACCTGCTTCAGGATTCCTCTGATTTTGAGACACCTTATACATTACGGTTTTTTCAAGAATTTAAAAAAAAAAATTCTTATCGAGAGTGCCTTTCTCAGGTGGAGGAAGGAAACTAGCCCGATAACCGGAATCTTTCCCCGCGATTGTAATCAACGACTCACCTAGACGCTGGTATTGATCAGAAACAGCACAGCGATTATTGCAGAGGGATTATCTCGACATTGATACGATAAGGGATAACACAGGACGTACATAAAGTGGATACTTTCATCGGCTGATATTCTGCTCGACTCGCTCGCGCCGTTTTCACGGTCGCAGTCGAAACCGGACACCAAACCGAGGATCATCGAAATCGCCGTCAAGATGACCCCGACGTCACGTTTCGGCATCGTGTCGCTGCAGCTGGTGATCGTTTTACTCATCTGTGTCAGACACGGTAAATTGCAACGCAAGTTCGTTGGAGAAAAAAGTGCAGTTCGGGTGTGGAGTTCAATCGCGGTGGAAGAAACCTCGCCCGGCAGGAGCGGCGTAAAAAATCGAGTCGAAAATCTCTTTTCGAAAATTACGAGGGACGAGTGGTTTCCGAGATATTCGGCGATGAAGCTGGCCAATGAGCGGCCTGTTTGACACGGGGCGGGGCCGGGGTGAGCCACGCCCCCGGGCGTCCCGTCCAATCGACTTCGACTTTCCCGTGAAACCGCCGCGCGATTGGCCGACTTCGACGGCAGATATCTCTGAATCTACTGGTCGTTCGAAGTTCGCGCAAAATTTCGCAGCATCCAGAATGCAAGATCTTTTCTTTCATCATTTCAGGTGCATCGTTAAAGTGCTACGTCTTCAGTTCGGACTCGGACGACTTCGCGAGTGAAGTTGCTGAGACGTATTTACAGGAGTGTGAAAAGCCACAGGGCACGACGACTGAAGCTTCTGCGAGCACTGACACAGGAACGGGAGGCTCACCCATTACTTCCGAGTCGCCGGCGACAGGGGATTCTTCTTCCGAAACTTCATCGCCATCTTCGACAGAAAGATCTTCCGAAACTTCACCGCCATCTTCGACAGAAAGTTCTTCCGAAACTTCACCGCCATCTTCGACAGAAAATTCTTCTGAAACTCTACCGCCGTCTTCGACAGAAACTTCTTCCGAAACTTCACCGCCATCTTCGACAGAAACTTCTTCCGCCATCGTCGACAGAAAGATCTTCCGAAACTTCACCGCCATCTTCGACAGAAACTTCTTCCGAAACTTCACCGCCATCTTTGACAGAAAATTCTTCCGAAACTTCACCGCCATCTTCGACAGAAAATTCTTCCGAAACTTCACCGCCATCTTCGACAGAAAATTCTTCCGAAACTTCACCGCCATCTTCGACAGAAGGATCTTCCGAAACTTCACCGCCATCGTCGACAGAAAATTCTTCCGAAACTTCACCGCCATCGTCGACAGAAAATTCTTCCGACACTTCACCGCCGTCTTCGACAGAAAATTCTTCCGAAACTTCACCGCCATCGTCGACAGAAAATTCTTCCGAAACTTCACCGCCATCGTCGACAGAAAATTCTTCCGACACTTCACCGCCATCTTCGACAGAAAATTCTTCCGAAACTTCACCGCCATCGTCGACAGAAAATTCTTCCGAAACTTCACCGCCATCGTCGACAGAAAATTCTTCTGAAACTTCACCGCCATCTTCGACAGAAGGATCTTCCGAAACTTCACCGCTATCTTCGACAGAAGGATCTTCCGAAACTTCACAGAAAGATGACAACGATGAAAACTCGGACTCGGAAGCACCCAATTACCATGTCCAACAAATACCAAGGTATCGCAGTCCGCGATCATTGTTCCGAGCTGCAAGTGACTTCGCTTGTTACAAATCGATTATAAAAGGTAACGTACACCGCTCTTCACCGACAATGCGACTTCATTTCGAGTACTGTCATCCATTTAATCTTTCGCATATTAATAAAATCACTTACATCGCATAACAGACTGAGAGCAATAATGAAAAAATGTCAATTAATAATTTCCAGATGACGGAAATGTGGTAGTTCACCGAGGATGCATTAAACGAACGCAGACATGCGAGGACATCGAGGAATTTAAATCGAAGGATCATCAATGTTGGCAATGCAGCGACAAGGACGGTTGCAATTCTTCCTCGATATCAAGATTGAGTATCTTCTCCCTCTTGCCCCTTTTGGCGGCCATTTTCTTAACGGCAAAATAAATTACTAGTCTTCAGGGATTCGAAAATTCCAAAATCTCGCCTGGACCTCTCGCAATAACCGCGACACCACGTGATAGGAAATTTCTGTACATAAATGAGTACCTTTGTATGTAAAGACGCACTCTCTACGCATTTTCCAGTCGAATGGCATCAATTAAATAAGGACGAATAAAGTTTCCCCGGAAATTGCTCCTTCCCTCCCGAAAATCCCGAGAAAAATCAATTCCCGACGCCATTTTGTTTTCGTTGAACCACCTTACCGATGTTTATGGATTTCCTCTTGAGAAACATGTTAATCTGGGAGAAGCCATCGAGAAAGTGTCGCCGAATTTCGTGTCCGTCGAAATTGGACGACGCGGCCGAACCGCCGCGTCTCCTCCGCCGTCTGCTCATCCGTGATATCGAAACTTGACGAAGTTTGCTTAATCGAGCTCCTCGGCGACGCCGATGGCGCGTTGGATATATAAACCGAATATCCAGCCGGAAATTTCGGAATCCTCTTCTCCCCTCCTCGAAAAAACATTTCATAAATTATTTCCTAGGCGACATAATTCCCTATTTTCAAGCTGCGAGGCTTCGTTACCAAAATAGTGCGATAAACATAATTTCAATTTGTGAGCCGCCTGAATTTAATTAAAAATAGAGAAATTATCATCGCAGTTCCATGCCGCAAAAATGGAGGAACTTTTCCGACATGCGTAAGTAAAATTCTTGTATTTATGGATAAGTTTGTGCGCGATGACCAGGATTTCATGATTTACTGTAAGGCCATGGTGGATGGTCCCTTGCCACCAGTTCCTTGCACCCACCTGCAGTGATAAGAAGGGCTGCATCCCCATATTGTCCGACCCACGCCTTATCGGAACACATACCTCGGCCACTTCTCGCTGCGATGCGCTTCGGGACGGTCTGAAATTACGTTACGGTTAGCTGGATAACGCCTCGAAGTTATGCGAAACTCTCGCGAGTTTATGGGGTTAGCCTGGCACTTCAGGAATCCGGACTGGGCCGAAAGAAACAGGGAAAGAAGATGGATTTCGCTGTACTCCGCTCCGTTTCAACGATTTTACGAAATCCCGAGCAATTTGGTGGGTCTCGAGTCGTTAATTGTGCCGACCTCGAAAAAAAGAGAAATTAATAAAGATCCTCTGAGGAGACTCCCAAATTTCCCCGTCCCGGATGTTAATAATTCCTCAAAGCGGAAGGAAAATAAACACAATTGATAATGCGAAGTATAACATTTTATTCCCAAACCTCCCGTACGTATTATTTCCATTTAGCTAATTTTATTTATCCCGTTCTTGTTATATCGGTTCGCCATAGTCAGCCAAGAGATCTTCGCTGGATAGGTTAGGGAGGCCTCGAAAAGGACTCCATGTTCCAAGGCGACCCTGAGACCCTTAAAAAGCGAAGGGAAGGTACTCTTCGAGGTCGTAACTCAAATTTCCGTAGGTGGCTCGTAAACCTTGGGGCAGTTTCGAAAAAAGGAAGCCGCGCTAAAAGCCGCGGCGTAAATCACCCCCGCCTAATTTTCCCTCCACCTATTCTTCTCCGCCTCGTGGCAAAAATTTCGCCAGCCGAGGTAAACTCGTTTCCTTTTCGAGCTGCCCGTCTGGAGGATCCGTTATTTCTTTTGTACGGCTCGGATTTGCGGCGTATGTCGCACGTGGGAACCTACGTGCAGGGGTGAAAGGTTACGCCGAAGGCCGCCATCTTGGTTCCGCGTGTAGAACCGACTTCCGCAAACTGTGACACTCTTTCGCGAGGAACGTGACACACTTGCGGTCCACGGACGTGTTTCAAGATCCTCTCCACCTAGCAGAGAGAATCCCTTAAAAGGAGAAAATAAATGACCCCTAGTTAAAACCACCCATCCCTATTATATATATATATAAACCTTCCCACATAACGGCAGTATATCTAACTTAATAACTAATATCACATAGTCTTGAAAAAAGATATTGGGATAATAAGAATTAACACCAATAATTCCACATTTTATTCAAATGGATAAAAATACACGTTGACACCCAATAAGTTACAATTTACAATTTTTCGATTTAACCAGCGAAGTAAGATGGCGGCCATGCGGAAGTCCAGAATGAAGTGGTCGAAGATTCCAGGTTCCATATCCCCAGGTTATGAACCTCATCGCCACTTTCATTCACTCCTCTTCTTCGAGCTCTTCAAACCTATTTAATGAGAAAATCCATAATTAAGGCCGTCGGTACATACCCGGAAAATCCTCATATGAGGCTCTTCGGGTCTCTAGAAACTGCAGGAATGCGCGGAAACGCTGCGTCTCTAATCCGGAAAATCTCCTCGAGCCTAGAGGATGATTCACGGGTGCCTCTTCGATTCACAATCGGGTTTTAAGAGCTCCGCTCTGACCGTGTGACTCGTAATGATTCAGCCGTGAAAATTCCGTATAGAGCGATAAGGTCTCCGCAGCGCCGCACGCGGAGAATCCGTCACTCGGCCGCGGTTCGTCACTCCCACGCTCGGCGTGGGTACGCTCGCACGCGCATGCGTGCAGCACACAGCGCGCAGCGCATGATGCGCGCGCGTAGCACACGTGCGCCCCCACACGCAGCCGGGACGCGTATGAGCGGCGCGCAGCGTGCGCGCGCAGCGGCTCGACTCCCTGGCGGGCGGCGCGCGGAGGGAGCCTCAGTAGGACTCCACTCCTCGACGAGGACGGATCGAAAAGGTGTCGTCAAGGATCTGTCGCTTCTTTGTCGGCCCGCGAGTGCGAAAAGGACACCCCGGTGACGCGCACCAGCCATTTAAGACCTCCACCTCTAATCCTAACCTTTAACCTTCCAGAATCCGATATTCGCAGTGCTCCAAATATCACACACATTGTTTCTACAAAAGGTGCCCGGTAACATGTACGACCCGAGTTCCTAGAGGATCTTCGCTTATTTAGAATCCCCGAAAAGTAAGTGAAAGTGTGATATTTCCGGCGAGATAAATTTTCTCTTTGAATTTCATTTCAGGGGATTTCATTGTTCAACCCTTTAAAAATGCCGGGTGGGAAATTATTCGACCGTTGAATTAAATTGCCCACGCTTGGAGGAGATAGCCGTAGAATCGTCGTTCATTATCTTATAAACTGCGACGTCCGTTAATTTTTAATAGTCATGTTCATAAGCTCAACTATTGTAAACAAAATTAGTTCTCCCAGGATTTCCACCTGCAACATTGACTCTCTCACCTTGAAATAAATCTACGGTACCGTTTATACATTTTTCTTCAAAACGACTCAATTTTTCCCGCAATTACAATTGCAAGGTCCGTTGTTAAACCCGACCTTTGACTTATCTTCGTCTATGACTTCACGAAATTACCGGCACTTCTGACTCATTCATTCACGGTCATTCGTTAAACCGAGCATGCATGGAAATTAGTCCGCGTCCTCGAAAATGAATTTTCCAGCCGACGTTTTCGTCTAGTTTTTCATTCTAACCAGTGCCCTTGACATCAGACATGCTTTTCGCGACTCCTCCACTTATATAATGAATGAATTAATTTTTTACATTTTTCTTTCTTCACATTTCTTTAAAGACACTCTAATCGTTTTCATTAAGCGACTACGAGAGACGCCGAAACGTCGATTTTTCTCGTCGTAGGTGAATCCTTTACTTTCCCCTAACGAGGGGAATAAAGCGGTTCGTTAACAACGACTAACGATCCCCCCGTAAAGCGTTTAATGGTTAACAAGCCGCTGAATAAAACTCTGCCCGACGCTTTCATGGAAACCCGCGGCCGTCGTTGCGTCTTCTGAATCGAAGTAATTGCGACCCCCGGGATATCCTCGTTTCCATCGGAGATTTCCCCGTTAAACGGCGGAAACGATGTGCGCCTTGGTTAATCGAGTTTCCATTTGCGATCTCCTTCGTGCCATTTGCAGCAAATAACAAGATCAGAATATAAATATCTCCGGATTTGATAAGTCGCTATCTGAAATCTCGGAATAAAAAAAAAAATCAGAGACGGGATTAATTGCTGAAAACTTAATCTCTATACATCGTTACCCGAAACAGAATTGGTTTAACGAAACCGGGGTTGAAGTATCTGGGATTAATTTTCAGGATTTCCATATACATATATATATATATATATATGTGCCCATAATTATGAAAGTGGTCTAAGTCATATATTTTTTGTTTCGAAATTACATTGAATTAATTTCGTTTGAAATAATATGGCATGAAATAACTGATAAACTCATTTTTTTTTTTAATTTTGACTTAGACCACTTTCATAATTATGGGCACATATATATCATAACGCGAAACGGAATTCATTGTCGGGCAGACGAGCCGCGTAAATTCGTTAATCAAATGTGAAAGTGGGCTTGAAAATGTATAATTAGTCGAGAGGTTCGATATATCGAGGTTTTGTATTAGAGCTGAGTGCGCCTCTCCGGGCTCCACTTGAAAAAAAAAAAATAATAAAAATGTCGATTCCGTGTAACGAGGGTGGACGATTTCCAATTGACACCTCCCACGCTTTCGAGAGCGCGTCCTCTCGACGCGCAGTGAGACACCTAACGAAGGCTCGAAGAAAGTCATTCCGTGGAAAGTGCTTCCGGGCGGGCGCATAAACCCAAGTATGGAGTTTTTACGGCGGCTCGAGTCGCCGTTATTGGGCCCAGACGGCGGAGCCTGAAGGGGGGGGGGGGCTCAGGGCGGCAGGGAGCCCCAGGGCGGCAGTGGGACTCGTAACGTTACGGAACCTTAGGGAGACAATGGCTCTCAAGGACGATGGTGGGCCTTAAAACCAGCACTGGGCCCGAAAATAGTAATGGGCCTTAGAACGACAATGGGTTTCGTGACGTTGGCGAGGGGCGAGGGGCAAACGACCCCCAGGGTGACTGTGGGACTCGTACGGTTACGGAACCTTAAGGAGACAATGGGCCTTAAAATAGCAGTGGGCCCAAAAACGGTAATGGGCCTTGGAGCCACAATGGGCCTCTTGACGTTAGCGAGGAGCAAGGAGCAAAAGATCCCCGGGGTCTCGGGATATCAATGGTGACGACAATGGGCCTTATGATGGCGGAGGGCCCCGAGTCATCGGCAGACCTCTTAATGTTAACCCACCCTGTGGTAGCAATGGGCCTCGATATATCCTCCTATGGGCCTATGGAGCCTATGGGCCTCTTGGACTTCGCGGGGCCCGAGGACGCCGACGCCCCCGTTCTCCGGGGCCCCGGCGAACCAGTCCTTCGGGCCCCACGGAATTCCTGATTCGGAGTTAACGACTCGCCGTCTCTCGAGCGCAAAAAGGAGCGCGTGCAGCGATCGGGCCCCGCAGGAGTCACTTTCCAACGCCGGAAGGAAACGAAAGGGCCCCTCCGGTGGGACTTTGGGCCCGAGGCTCTCTCCGAGGTCGGAGACCGCGTCCATCTATCGTTTAAACCCACGGGATTACCGCTCCCGAGTCGAGCGATCGAACCTACGGGTATAAGGCCCAAAGATATCGGACCCATTCCCGGAGTAAACCTCTTCGGAAGATACGAAACTTCTTCGACGTATATCCCTCTACCCGGTGAGAAGTCCCCCAACGAGGAGCCCCTGAGGGGCCCGAATTATTCCCGCTCGGCAAGTGGGCCCAATGGTGCGGGAGGGGGGTTACCCGATGGGGCCCGGGTCCAGGGGAAGATAAAAGCCGCCGCGGAGGAGGGAGAGCTCTGGTTATTCCCTTTTAATTGGAGATCTCGGACGAACACGGCCCCTCTTGAGCCCCATTGGGCCCCATTGGGCCCCATCGGGCCCAACGACGGATAACTCCCGTTACCCGGAAATCCCCAGATCGACGGGGCGCCCCGACGTCGAATCGCGGCTTTCCGATCGTCTCGACTCCACTCGATCGATCTCGCCGATCTTGTCGGGCCCAGGAGTCCGCTTCGCGGGTTTCCTAGGGCCCTTGGCGGGCCCAAAATATCCGTTCGGCGAGATTCCCCGGGCTGGCCGTCCCGAGGTCGATAAAAGCACCTCGGTCCGGCGTTTCGCGTCGGTGCTTGGCCAACGGGCGCCGTTAAACGGATTTCTGAGCGAAATTAGCAGGCTCGGAGGGAGGCTACGAGTCTCCGGGGAAGCGTCCGTGGTAACCGCTTGGAACGGTGGGTCCCACAGGTGCTCCCGTTAAAACGGAACTTTTCCGCGGCCCTGGAGCGTCGCTAATTGCGCCTTCCCTCTTCCCTCCTACTCCACCCTTTCGGCGCTTTTCCTCCACCCGTGATTTCCCTTATCGCCTCCCCACGACCTTCCTTTAAGGGGACGTGAAAGTGCCATCCGAGAAGTCAATCGTTCGTGAAGCATTTTCACCAACTGGGTGTAACAAATCGTTTCGAACTTTGTAACGTGAATATGAAAGCCCTAATGTAGGTCTTGAAACTCGTGAAATTTCATTTTTTATGGAAAAAATTGCAAAAACGTCTATAAAGAAATTTTGTTCTAATTGAAACTTCATGGGTGTCAGGACCTTCTTCGTAGGTCCCACATTCACATTGTGAAGTCTGATACCGAATTTCATTTTTTATGGAAAAAATGTCAAAAACGTCTATAAACAAATTTTGTTTTAATTGAAGCTTCATGGGGGTCAGGACCTTCTTCGTAGCTCCCATATTCACATTGTGAAGTCTGATACTGAATTTCATTTTTTATACAAAAAATGTCAAAAACGTCTATAAAGAAATTTTGTGGTAATTGAAACTTCATGGGTGTCAGGACCTTCTTCGTAGCCCCCACATTCACATTGTGAAGTCTGATACTGAATTTCATTTTTTATGGAAAAAATGTCAAAAACGTCTATAAAGAAATTTTGTTTTTCGTAAAGGAGACCTCTTTGACGCCACGTTCCATCTTTAGGAAAATCTCAGGCCCTTTGTCATCTTTTCAGTCGCTATCGCGGTCTCCCTTGGTTCTTATTTGCAATTATATCTCCCTTATCAGGGGATCGAGGTTCCACCTCTCATGGGAAATCGCCCTCGAGACGAACGAGAGAAAGGAACGGGGAGAAAGAGGAAAGAAAGGTCAGCCGGCCGCGGGCGATTTTCGGTTCGTTGACCGATTCTCATGGCTGGATTCTTCCTCTTCGTTCCTTTTTTTTTCCCTCCCCTTTATTCCTTTTTTTCTATATCCCCCCCTACCGCCGTAACCCGGGAAGAATCGGCCGCTCCTTAACCCAGTTCGCCGTTTCGGGCGTCGTTAAGCGAGACGGATTTTTCGGAGCGCGACGCAGCTTTTTGGGCCCCATCCCCTGTTTCCCGCCATTTTGGTTCCATCCCGAAGGTTACGCTAACGAATACGCACTCAACGGGATTCTTCTTAACGAGCTGGATTTTTCCGGTTCCGTGATTTTTCGCCATATTTTTTTTTCTTAAACGCAATGCCGCAGAACTTGACCCTGAAGGAGGTGCGGATTTTCTTCAGTGCCATCCTTGATGAAGAGATTTGAGAACGTCGGCCATGTTGGCAGGGTGTACCCGAAGAAAGTACCTAAAGGAACACCTGAAGAAGCTGCAGGAGAGCCGAGGAACACCTGAAGAAGCTGCGGGAGAGCCGAGGAACACCTGAAGAACCGTCCCGGCGAGCTCCTCTTCGTGCTCATTTTTTCTTCCTTCTTCTTTTTCTCCTTCTTCTCGCCATGGGGACCATCGACAGGTGGGAAAGTACCGACCAGGGGGATTAATCGACATAAAACCGGTCCCCGAATGAGCGCTTTCTCAGTGTCAGGGCCGTAAGTCTCTTCTTCAGGGCCGAGGTTGACTTCCAGCATCGTCGGGTGATCTTTGATACCGTCGAACCTTGAGCCCGAGGTTTTGCTCCCGAGTCTGAGTTCATCATCTCGAATGATTTTCTTCCTCCCGTTTTTTCTTCGGGTGACTTCCTCATGAGGAGATTTATCTTCAAGGAGACTCCCGACATGTCGAGG